TTTCTCCACCTCCCCCTGCTCCTGAGGGGTGATCGGGGCCAGCAAGTGCCTCTCACACCCGCTGCTGGCAATGGCCCCACTCGCACCTGCTGCCGCTGCCGCTTGCACCCACTGCCAGTGCCCGGTGCTGGTCCCAATTGCTCTCGGTGCCATTAGCGGGTGCAAGCGGGGCCGGCACTGTCAGCATGTGGGAACGGCATGTGGGGCTGCCGGCAGACAGGGGACCAAGGGCTGTGGCAGGAGGGGCTGGGCAGGGGCATGGAGGATGGGCTGAGACCCACCCCTCTGCCCACCACAACCTCACAGCCCACAGTTCCTTTTAGGGTGTACGAATTTGTGCACTGAGCCCCTAGTCCTATATAATAAAAGCCTAATATGCTAAGTGTCCAGTCTTCCAATTGCCCATTCAACCAATCAAAGTGTAATAGGCTAATGAAATGCTAAGGCCGCTCAACCACTCACTATGGCGTGCACTGACCATCAGGGGGCAGATGCTCAACACAGGAGCTGCCTCCTGGTGGTCAGTGCACTCCCACAGGGGGAGAGCCGCTCAGCCAGAAGCCAAGGCTCACGGCTGGTGAGCACAGCGGTGGTGGTGGGAGCCTCTCCCACCTCCGCAGCAGCGCTAAGGGCTCACGACTGCGAGAGGGCGCAGGCTGGGCTGAGGGAACCCCTCCCATCAGTGCACGAATTTCGTTCACCAGGCCTCTAGTCCTTCATAAAATGAAGGAGCAATAGTCACCCATAGACCTTCCTACAATAAATGCTAAAGGAAACCTTCAAGCTTGAATGAAAAGACAGTATACATTACTCAAAGCCATATGAAGAAATAAAGAACACCAATAAAGGTAACTACCTGAGTAAATGGAAAAGCTAGTAAATCTTGTTTATAAATCTTATTTTATTTTCTATATGATTTAAGAGATGAATGCATAAATTAATAATTATAAATCTATGTCATGGCCACACATATATAATAGATGTAATCTGTGATAATTTGAACATAAAATGGGGACAGAACTATATAAGAGCATAGATTTTGTATACTATTGAAGCTAAATTGCTATTAATTCAAACTAGATTGTTATAAATTTAAGATGTTAATTTTAATCACCAGTATAACCACTAAGTAAAAACAAAATACAGAAAAGTAAATAAGAAGAGAATCGAAATAGTATGTTAGAACAAAGAAAACAGTAAAGAAGGCAGTATGGAGGAATTGTGGAACCAGAAAAAAAAACCCAACATAAACAAATAGCAAAGTGGCAGAAGTAATCAGTAACTGTTTTAAATGAAAATAGATTAAGCTCTCCAATTAAAAGGCAGAAATGGCAGAATGGTTTAGAAATATGATCCAACTATACTCTACCTGTGTCCCTCCCTCCTTCTCCAGTATTCTGCAATGCAAACCACTGAGCCTTGGTTTCCATTTTCTTAATTCAGGAAGTCCTTTTATTTCTTTCCAGAGCTGCAGCTGGAGACGCTCAAGCAGTAAGCTGGGAAACCATAGGGCTCACTTCCTTTTTCTCTTAGGTCCAAATTCATGAAAACTGCATTTTTGTGGGGTTGGGTTTTTTTTCATACTGTTTGGTATTTTAATTATTACATGAGAGAGTAAGTCCAGTTCCCGTTACTCCATCTTGGCTGGAAGCAGAAGCCATTTTTTTATAAAAAATGTTTTTATCTATAAAAGTTTTACAATGGCTTAGGAATTAATTTTTTAAGTCATTCAATTCTATTAAACTTTGGTTTTCACTAATTACTCTATAAACTGAAGTAATATAATAACCTTATAATAGTCCAAGAAAAAAAACTATTTCTTTGGCCTTTAAAAAAACATTTTAATGACAAATATATTAATTAAAAAGGCATTCTAGTTTTTTTTTAGCATACTATAAAGTGCTTTATAATACTCTTAATGAATAAAGTAATCTTTTACCTTTTCTCTTCCATGAGTAAGAGAAAAAAGTAATTTTGTATGTGCTGTCAACTATCCATTGCCAGTAAGCTATTTTTCATGTGTCAAGAAAATACTACCATGTGCACTAGGTCAATTATGGACTTATATTAATTACAGCTGTTATAGTAGTAAAGAAAGAAAGCTTGGGCAGGCATTCTAATTACTGACCTGGAAACAGAACAACTAGAAATGTGGTTCTAAGTTTTCTTTAAAAAATAAAACTTTGTATCTAAAAACATTAATTTATATAGCAGAAAACTTATATTTGTATATATTTTAGGTTTAATGAAAATAATTTTGTGTGTCTATGTCTATAGTTGGTCTCTTTCTCTGAAAACAGCTTTAGATTAGAAACAGGAAACAGCTTTATATTTGAAACAGGGAAACTGCCATTGGGAATGTGAAAAATACTGTTTTCAATCCCTGTCTGTCTAATCCACGGATGCAAACCTGCAGATATAAAGGGCTGACAGTATTTATTGGGGGAAAATCCACATGTAAGTGCACCCGCACTGCTCAAACAATGTTGCTCAAGGGTCAATTCTATTACCTCACAGTTTCTTTTTAGCTGAAACTGAGGTCCCTGATTTCTTGCTAGTTGTTAGTAGGGATTGCTCTCAGCTCTTAGAAGTCACCCTCAGATCCTACCTAGCCACAAGGCCCTTCACAACATGGCAGCTACTTCTAAGCTGGCAGGAATTTTTCTCTCCAGTCTGCTAAGAAGTCTTAGGTCCTAAAAATGAAAGGAATGATTCAGCTACCACCTTTGCCATTTAAGGAGAGTGACGATTCCATCAGATTCGTCACAGGACTGATCACACTAAAAGACAGAGGAGTATACAGGATGTATACTCAAGGGGGCAGGAATCTTAGGACCATCTTAGAATTCTGCCTACAACATTATGCATTAATTTTAATCTTATTTTTAGGAAAATAAGATTAAAGATTTATGTGGAAGCTGAGCTCTTACATTTTTCTTGGTACTATTTCTATTAATATCTTTAAAATCATTGGCTAAGATAGTGGGGGGACTTAAGCAGTAATGGAAAGAAAGTGATGTTTATTGATTACTAATACATGCCAGGTTCCTTTACTTCATAGTTTATTCCATATCAGTGGAAATAATTGCATCTGAACTAAGGAGGTACTATAAGAAACATGTTAGCCAAATCAAATATTAGAGTATTATTAAGGTTCTCAAGTACAGTTAAGAAAATTATATGATGATAACAACTGTCATTAAGTTGAAAGGCTAAACTAGTATTTCAAAGTTCTCCTTAATGTGTGACTGGGTATGCTTTTGATGGTCTTGGAAAACAAATACTCAACACTTCCCAGTGTAATGAACTTTTTTCAAAAAAAGCAAGACAGATTTAATTACACAGAATTTAAAACAGACTGTAGCTTATGTAACTAAATTTAATGACCTAAAATATTTCTCCTAAATCATGCTGCACGTATTTTATGAATCTATTAATAAGATTTATTCCAGGATGGTACTGTACATATTTATATGTACTCTAGTACATAATCATAGTCAAATCTTTCATCATCTAGAACAGCAGTTCTCAACCTGTGGATCACGACCCCTTTGGGGGTCGAACGACCCTTTCACAGGGGTCGCCTAAGACCATCGAAAAACACATATATAATTGCATATTGTTTTTGTGATTAATCACTATGCTTTAATTATGTTCAATTTGTAACAATGAAAATACATCCTGCATATCAGATATTTACATTACGATTCATAACAGTAGCAAAATTACAGTTATGAAGTAGCAACGAAAATAATTTTATGGTTGGGGTCACCACAACATGAGGAACTGTATTAAAGGGTCACGGCATTAGGTAAGTTGAGAATCACTGATCTAGAAGATCAAATATAGCTAATATTGCTTGAAAAATAGGTACTACAAAGGGTTTTAGAATTAAGAAACATTTTAAACCACATTTAAATTCAAAGATTACTTAACATAACTTTCATCTTGAAGCAACAAGAAGTTTGAAGTACTGTCTTTGTTCAGAGCAATCAAGATAATATCAAATAATTTCAGTTTTCAAAAATGATTTTATTAAATATTTAAAGGCTTGAATTAAAGTCCTTGGCAATAGTGATGCTAGAATATTTGTAGCAAATTATAAATACAAGTTGAAAACTCAAAATAATGACAGCTATTTTTAATTGCTTCTTCTCTGTTACATAAATATAGAATGACTACACAGCTGAAAAACTACAAATATGAAACAAACATTAGAGAAATAACTGACTCATAAGATAGAAACACCTAAATTATTTCACTGGTGTAAAAATACACTAAAATTTTATTCATGGATAAGATATCCTGATAATAACATAGGCTTAAAGTTCAAAAAAGAATTTCTATACCTTCTCTTATAAATCCCTTATGAAATTTTCAAGATGTTTTCTGGCCTAAAATGCTTGATTCTTGTTTAGGCCAGATAAATATTTTGGGAAACTGGAAGAAAAATTGTATTTCATATTTGTTTGAGATATCTCAATATGGTTGGAAAAAAAAATATTTTCCTCATTCTTATTTGGGCATTTTGCACTCATTCACACATGGCATAAATTTAAACTTTGAATTGGCATGTATAAAATCCTCTATGAGGGAATCACAGTCCAGAAATAAATGCTGGCACTTTTTTATTTCTGAGGCAGAGCACAAAACATTTGCAGTACCCTGTTTCCTTATGGGTGAACTAGGCACTCATTCCAGCCCGGTGTTTGCACTTGTACTCAAAACCCAACTCAAAGCATGTTGACAGTGAGATAGCATTTGAAAGCTCTTTACAAAAAAGCAAACTAAATGCATAATATACATAATTCCTATAAAGTTAAAAATATATATGAGGACCAGAAAGCTAGAATCACAAAGAACTCAATTATTTCCAGTAATGGCAAACTGATTAATATACACCAACTCTCTCACTAAAAACTAGAAAAGCTGGGCAAAACAAAAACCTGAATGCTAACCAGGCAGTGAAAAATTACAGGACTGTGGAGAAGTAAACTTACACAGGTAATTCTAGCATTTGGGGCTGCTTTTCCCAGAGGGTCATCTGCTGACGAGGCAATTCCAAAATTCAGACTTGAGCAGAGCTTTCAAAAGACTCACAAGAAAAGGGGACCAAAGCTGGAATCAGGAGTTCAGGGCCTACAAAGGAGAAAGGTCCTGGCCTGGCTTTGGATGGGCCACACTCTGAATAAAGATGAACGAGAATCTGGAACTGAATGCAACTTCAAAATCTCAAGGCCTTTCTAGATCCAAGTGATCCAGGATCATGAGTACTCCTACTTGCCTTCCCCAAGCAAAACGAAATCATCCTCCCTGAAATAATCTCTGTTTTTCACATACAGTGCCAATATATAAAATAACAACTAGGAATACTAGGAAAGAAATCAACATAATAAAACAGAGAATCCAGATAATCCAGTTGTCAGTCAAAGACTTTAAAATAAGTATATTTTATACAAGAAAATCAGATAAGATTGAGAATTTTGTCAGAAAATTAGAAAAAAGGGAATCAAGAAAAATAGCAGCCAGACTGAAAATACAACTAAATTGGAGAACATTCATTCACCTGGAATTACCAACTGAGGTCCAGCTGAGGAGAGAACTTATATCAAGGAAGGACAGAAAACACCTGAAGACTGGTAGGAAGGGCAAGATCACAAGAGGAGCTGACTCAGCTTCCAGGGCTGGCAGGCTGAGAGTGAGGAGGGAGCTCTCAGATACAGGCAGGTCTGTTCCCTCAGAAGATAGAGGCCCAGAACCCAGGTTGGGATCCACAGCCTGAAGCACCAGAGCTGAGATTCGTGGCCCACGTAACATCCAGCCATGAAAGGAAGCAGGGCTGCTGGCCACAGTGGAGTCTGGAGACTGGAGACTGGAGCTGTTGGAGAGAAAGCTCCAATTTCATTTTTTATTTGTTTGTTAGTTCGTTTAAATCCAGAGCACAGGAGTTTTCATTTGCAGCTACTCATCACAGGCTTTGGTGCAGGGATGGAGGCAAGGACTTTAGGTGCCTAAGGAGGGGCTGTGGTGGGGAGCATTGTGGGGACAGGTGGAAAAGCAGCAGCCAGGAATATTAGGTCTTAGCCCCCCAAACCAAAAGGACCATTTTTACTGAGAGGACCTAGCTGCTCCCAGCAGCCAGAGGGCAGGTAAAGGAAAAATAAAACCACCCTAGGTGATACAACCTGCCTCACCCACATGTTCCCTGCATGCCACACCTTGCATTTTGAGCTTTTCAGAGGAAACAAAAGCATAGGCCAAGCTTAAGGGTTTGAAGGGTCTCAAGGAGCCCTCAGTGACTGGATTGGGGTTAGGACAGTGATGGCGAACCTATGACACGCGTGTCAGAGGTGACACGGGAACTCATTTTTTTGGTTGATTTTTCTTTGTTAAATGGCATTTAAATATATAAAATAAATATCAAAAATATAAGTCTTTGTTTTACTATGGTTGCAAATATCAAAAAATTTCTATATGTGACACGGCACCAGAGTTAAGTTAGGGTTTTTCAAAATGCTGACACGCCGAGCTCAAAAGGTTCGCCATCACTGGGTTAGGACATCTGCCACAATATCCTGGGAGCCAGACTGATATTTTGCCTGCACAGGAGAACTGATAAAAACTTCAGGTTTCCAGCCCACCCCATTGGTCTCAAAACAAGGATCTCTGTCCAGCCAAGAGCAGAATAGCTATGGGACAGGGAATCAAACCCACCATATTCCCTGAAAGCTAAACAGCACCCCTCATCCCCCACCTAAAGCTTATTCAGAAACAGACTATTGAGTTATTAAGATAGACAGCTGGCTACCAGGCAAAGGCAGGCAGAGGTGGAGCCGGGGGAAGCAGGGAAAAATTCCTGATCCAGCCCTGGGCCTCATGCTGCTAACAAACCGACTTTAGAGGGCAGATTGGCCACTCCTGCTTGCAGCCAAGGCCTGTGGAGACAGAACCAAGCAGTGGATCAGTGAATCACTTGAAGCATCACACAGGTTGCCAAAAGCCAAAAGACAGTGCTTGACAATGGTTAGCACCTAAGCACCAAACAGGAAGCCCAGAATTGGCAGATAGAACATGAACTTAAAAATCAACTACAATAAAAAACAATCAAACACATGGAGGCTAAATAGCATGCTATTAAACAATAAATGGGTTACCAAAGAGATCAAAGAAGAAATTAAAAAAAAAAAAAGCACCCTGGCAACAAATGAAAACAAACACATAACAATGCAAAATCTCTTGGACACAGCAAGAGCAGTCCTGAGAGGGAAGTTCATAGTACTACAAGCCTATGTCAAAAAAACAAACAAAAAAAAACAAGAAAAATTAATAATAAACTATTTAACCCCACAACTTAAAGAATTAGAAAGAGAACAACAAGAAAAGCCCAGAGTAAGTAGAAGGAAGGAAAAATAAAGATCAGAGTAGAAATAAATGACATAAAGACTGAAAAAAACAATACAAAAGATCAATAAAACCAAGAGCTGGTTCTTTGAAAACATAAACAAGATTGATGAACCTCTAGCCAAAATCATCAATAAATAAATAGAGAAGACCCAAGTAAACAAAATCAGAAATGAAAGAGGTAAAGTAACAAGTGACCCCACAGAAATACAAAGGATCATAAAAAAATACTATGAACAACCTGGATTAAATGCACATACTCTTAGAAAAATACAATCTTCCAAAACTCAGTCAGGGAGAATCAGAAAACCTGAATGGCCAATAACTACTGATGAAATTAAAGTAGTAACAATAATTAAAAAAATCCCAGCAAACAAAAGCCTTGTTCTGGATGTCTTCATAGGTGAGTTTTACCAAACATTCAAAGAGGAACTAATACCTATCCTTCTCAAACTATTGCAAAAAACTCAAGAGGAAGTCAGATTTCCAAGCTCTTTCTATGAAGCCAGCATTACCCTAATCACAAAACCAGATAAAGACACTACAAAGAAAGAGAATTACAGACCAATATCCATAGTGAACATAGATGCTAAAATCCTCAAAAAAATATTAGCAAATTGGATCCAGCATTACATTAGAAAGATCATACACCACAACCAAGTGGGATTTATTCCAGGTATGCAAGGCTGGTACAATATTTACAAATCAATAAATGTGATACATCACATAAACAAATTGAATGACAAATCACATTATCATATCAATTGATGCAGAAAAAGCACAATAAAATCCAACAACCTGTTTTGATAAAAACTCTCAGCAAAATGGGATCATACCACAACATAATAAAAGGCATCCAAATTGCAAAAAAGGAAGTAAAACTGTCATTATTTGTAGATGACATGATATTATACATAGAAAACCCTAAAGACTCCATCTAAAAATTACTAGATTTACTACATGAATTCAGCAATGTAGCAGGATACAAAATTAACACCCCAAAATTGATGGTATTTTTATACATCAATAATGAATTCTGAGAAAGAGAAACTAAACAAATAATCCCATTTACCACTGCAACAAAAAAAATTAAGATGCTTAGCAATAAACTTAACCAAGGAGGTAAAATACTTGTACTCAGAAAACTAGAGGACACTGAAAAAAGTGATAGAGGAAGATATAAACAAGTGGAAGAATATACAATGTTTATGGATTGGTATAATCAACATCATTAAAATGTCCTTACTCCCAAAGCAATCTATAGATTCAATGCAATCCCTATTAAAATACCAATGGCATATTTCACAGCTAAAACAAACACTCCAAAAATTTATATGAAACAAAAAAGATCCTGTATAGCCACAGCAATCTTGAGAAAGAAGAACAAAGTTGGAGGAATCACAATACTAGATATCAAGTTATACTACAAAGCGAGTGTACTCAAAACAGCCTGGTACTAGCACAAGTACAGGTCTATGGATCAATAGAACAAAACAGAGAACCCAGAAATCAACCCAAATTTGACAAAGGTGGCCAGAGAGTACAATAGGGTAAAGATAGTCTCTTTAATAAATGGTGTTGGAAAAATTGGACAGGTACATGCAAAAAATTGAAACTAGACCACCAACTTACACCATACATAAGAATAAACTCAAAATGGATAAAAGACTTATCAGTAAATGTAAGTCATGAAACCATAAAAATCTTAGAAGAAATCATAGGCAGCAAAATTTGAGATATATCTCATAGTAATATGTTTACCAGTACTCTTTCTTTGTCTGCTAAACTCTTTATTTCACCTTAAATTTTGAATGATAGCCGTGCTGGATAGAGTAGTCTTGCGTTCAGTCCCTTGGTTTTCATTACCTTGTATACTTTATTCCATTCCCATCTAGCCTGAAGTGTTTCTTTTGAGAAGTCAGCTGACAGTGTAATGGAAACTCCCTGTTAGGTAACTTTCTGTCTCTCTCTTGCAGCCTTTAAGATTCTTTCTTTGTCTTTAATGTTTGGCATTTTAATTAATATGTGCCTAGCTGTGGGTCTTTTTGGTTTCATCTTGGTTGGGACTCTTCAATGACTTTTTCCTTCATCGGGTTAGGGAAATTATTTACCATAATTTCTCCAAACAAATTTTTTATTCCTTGCTTGGATTCTTCTCCTTCAGGAACCCCTATGATCTGAATGTTATATTTCATGTTGTTCCAAAGCTTCCTTAGACTCTCCTCCTTCTTTTTAATTTGTTTTTTCCATTTACTGCTCTGCATGACTGTTTTTTTCTCCCTGGTCTTTTAATTTGCTGATTTGGTCCTCAGCTTCTTCTAGTCTACTGTTGAATGCTTCTAGGGCGTTCTTTATTTCAGCTATGTAATTCCTTCTTTCCAATTGATTTTTATTTATTGTTTCAATCTCTCTTTTCATATTAGTATAGCCCTGTTTGAGAACCTTATAGTTCTCATGAAGTTGCTTGTAATTCTGATTTGTTTGAGCAGCCTTATTGCCATTACTCAGAATTCTTTATCTGACAAATTGCTTGCTTCCATTTTATTTAGTTCCTTTTCTGGCAGTTCCTCCTTTGCTTTCATTTGGGGGTTGTTTCTTTGTCTCCCCCCCTTTTGCTTTTCCTTTGTTTTTGTTTCTATGTATTAGATCAATCTGCTATGCCTCTCAGAATTTTTGAGTGGTTTTATGTAGTTGGTGTTTTTTGGGACCCAGTGGTGCAGTGTGTTAGATCTCCTGTGCTGGATGCTCTAGGAGAGCCCCTTACTTGAGTTATTTGTGTTCTCCTGTTGTAGTTGGTTCTTGAATGTTATTGTCCCATTCCGTGGATGGAATCTCATCTCAGGCCAGCTGATTATGTGGCTCACTCCTAACTATGTGGCTCACCCCTGACCACATCGTGCAAACTATTGTGGAGGTGCTGAATGAACAGAA